GGGAGGTGATTTCTCGCTTTCTGTCTCTCTGTCTCTCTCTGTCTTTCTGGCAAGCGCACGTGCCCTATAGCAAAAACCTCTCAAAGGAAAAAAAAAATTGGATTATGAGCTGTGTCAGACAATTCCAATACCAGAAATCTTGCTCCTCCTAGTTCTTATTGGTGCCTTGTTTCCTTGGGTACTTTTTTTTGTGATGAGGATTCCTGGAAATTTAGAGCATTCCTCCAGAGAGATACCTTTGCTTCTGCTGGGTGCACACCCCATGGCAGAGTTGGTTTGAGTAGTCTACTTAGGTCTCAGAGTTCTAGATTTTTTTCCCCTGATTATTCCATACATTCTTGTACACTTTTAGATGCCTTTAAGATGTGTTTTGGGGCCAGCAGGTGGCGTAGTGGTTAAGATCCTGAACTCGCACATCCAGCTGTGGTTCAAGTCCTGGACCTGGTGTCTTGCTTTTTCACTTTCTCTTTCCTTTTCCCTCTCCCTCCCACCCTCTCTCTCTCTCTCTCCCTCCCTCTCTGGTGAACACATGTGCACTGTATCAAATTTTAAAATAGTAAATAAAATTAAATAATTTAAAAATAAATATATTTAAAAAGAAAAAAGATGTGTTTTATTCTTTATCCAACTTTTTTTTTTTTGCTCTTCATGATGTGGGGATAGGGAGGTGGATAGGGTTTGACCAGAAAACAGTCTGTATTCCTAACAACAGAGCCATCTGTATTTGTGATAGTTTGATCGGTCACTGGTGGCAGTGCTGGGTCCTGCCAGAGGCAGACTTGATTCAGAGAGTTTGGGGTGAAGATGGGATAATAACTATGAGACATTTATTTTTTTCTCCCAGAAGAAATAAGCTGAGAAAGCATGGGCGTGGTAGAGGAGGAGTTGCATATACTTGGAGAGTAGCAGTAGACTCTCCTTCAACAGGTGACATGAGTGGAAAACAGAAATCTAGGAACAAGATACTCAAGGATGCCGAAAGGCACCTGCTTCCGGTCAGTTCTCTGAAGAGTTAACAGGATGCGGGACCAGCAGTTAGCGTAATGGCTATGTTGCTGGACTCCCATGTAGTCGACCACGGTTCAAGTCCCGGACCCAGTGGCTTAAACTCACGCCAGGCGCGTGTGCGTGCATACCCGCCCAAGATCCGGAGAGGACAATGGAAGAGAAGGGATTGCGGCATGGCCATCCCCCCTGGGGGGTCATTTCTTGCTTTCTGTCTCTCTGTCTCTCTCTGTCCTTCTGGCGAGCGCATGTGCCCTATAACAAAAAAAAAAACAAAAACAAAAACAAAAAAAAACCTCTCCCAAAAAAAGGGGGAAAAAAGAGTTAACAGGATGCAGCAGATGAGGAGGGGTTCAGTTTGGACATGGACCTTACCAGGAGAGGAAAAGAGAGTTAAGTTAGGGATTTGGCAAAATCGAGACGGGTAGAATTACTTGCCCAACGTCAAATCATCCTTGGTGGTGGTGATAATCCATTTTGCTATAAAGCATAGACCACCTTTGTGGTCTTTAGTATTTCATCTAAATTTCTTATTTTCCTCAGTTAAATTGTAAATTCCCTCAGATTATCGACAGTGCCTTAAAGTCTTTTTGTACCCCAAAGTGCTTTCTACCCCTGACAGTTTTGGCCAGAAAAGAGAAAGCCCTTCATATCTTCTGAATTGGATTGGGCAATTTGGATCCTTTTATTTTTTTGATAGAGATAATCTCAAGTTAGATATTGAATATGCTGATTTTTTTTTCACTAATTTGTGAAAGTAGTGTAAGAGAATTTAAAGTTACATAATGTCAAATAACCTGTTACTTTTTGATACAGTTTATGATTCAAATACATACTCTGGTGGGGTTTAAGCAAAGTCACATAAACCATCAATACCCAACCTAGGCCCGACTGGGCATCAGTATCACTAATTTGCCAGAGGGTGCACACACTTGTACAGGAGGTGGGGGAGCACTGTGGGAGATGATCACACCACAATCCCTTCTCTTTCATTTCTCCCTCCTTTCAGGACTTTGAGCATGCACATGCATGTCCTCAGTATGTTTTTCTTTTGTTTTTGGAGAGGTTTTTGCTATAGGGTACGTGCGCTCACCAGACAGAGAGAGAGAGAGAGACAGAAGCAAGAAATCACCCCCCAGGGGGGATGGCCACACCGCAATCCCTTCTCCTTCGTTCTCCTCTTGGGATCTTGGGCACGCATGCACACGCTCCCGGCGTGAGTTTTAAGCCACCGGGTCCGGGAGGCGAACCGCGGTAGACTACATGGGAGTCCAGTGACATAGCCATTACGCTAATTACTGGTCCCCCAGTATGTTTTTCAAGCAACATCCAGGACTTAAACTGTGCAGTTGGCCATATGGGAACCAGCTGCTTTAACCACTACCAGGGAAATATAACTTTCCGGGCCACCCTGGATCCACCATAAGAGTCCTTGAGATGGATCCTAAATGCCATTGTGTTTGTTTCAAGCTTCCCAGGTGACTCAGATGCCCATGAAGGTTGGGAGCATTGTAGTACAGTAGATAGGAAGAAGACCATAATGCACAAAGGCAATAGGTGGAGGGAGGGAAGTGCAGAGGCCAGAGAAGACAGAAAAACTCTGAGGCTTATTTGACCTGAGCAACAGAAGCTGTTTTCATGAGCACAAGCACTGAGGCGTAAGAGCAAGTTGGCAGGTGCCGGGAAGTGGCGTGCTCCTACCATGATGACACAAACGTGAAGGCCCGAGAGGCTCAGCCGTGGCTTCCTCTGGTCACAGAAAGTTGTCAGAGTGATGTGGAAGATTCCGTTTCCTTCATAACGGTAACTAAGCAAAAGTATTGAGGAATAACTACAGTGAAACAAGAAATATCAATACATGGGCCTAACGGGGAAGCGATATTTTGCTCGTTATGTTTGTCATCTCTGTTTAGTTTTTATTTTTGGCAAAAATAATAACACTTCGAGAGTAGTGGTCAGTAGTCAACATAGAAGGCATTCTTCTCTTCCTCATTTAAAATGGAAATATCTCTTTTGATATTTGTTGTGGTGTTGATTATTGCCTTAAGATCTCTTTTATCATGTTAAAGAACTATCTTATTAACTCTTATATTCTTTATCCTTAAAAATTACTGACTGTACAAATAAAAATGTAAGTGTTAAAATTTTGACATCGGAAACAAAGAAATAGTCATTTTCTTTTTCCACAGGTCCCTGGGTGTGACACTTTGGGAGCTTTTTGATAATGCTGCTCAGCCATATTCAAACCTTTCCAACTTAGATGTTCTCAATCAAGTCATCAGAGAGAGAGACACAAAACTCCCTAAACCCCAACTGGAGCAGCCTTATTCTGATAGATGGTTGGTAACTTCATGTTCTGTTTTGTTATCTTCAAAAAGAAAGAAATCTGAGTCAGCTGGTGTGGTGTGGCAAAATTGGCTGGTTCCCATATGACCAACCACACCGTTCAAGTCTCGGAACCAGTGACTTGAAAAACACACCAGATGCATGTTTGTGTGTGCCCAGAATCCTGAAAGGAGGGAGAAATGGAGGAGAGGGAATTGCAGCATAACAGTCCCCCAATGGGAGGTGGGGGACTGTCTCACTCTCCCTACCTACTCTGGCTAGTGCATGTGCCCTCTGGCATTATGGGGAAAAAAAGACAAGGAAATCCTATTAGCATGGGTATTATCAATAGTTTACTTGTTTTTCTTTTTAAATAATGGGTACTATGAAAAACAAAGCCATCGCTCCTGGATGCCTTCTTTGGTCTTTATTCTCTACTCCTTTCCCCTCCACCTTTAGCTCCTTTTGTGATCACAAGAAACCATGTTGCTGCAGAAGCCTAGAGTGCTACTTATTATCGGGGAATAGTTAGAGATTAGTTACAATAGCCTTTGTCTGTATGAATTCTCAGAGAATAAAGTGAGTAAATCTAAAAATGTAAGAGAATTGCATTTGGGACTAGCAATTAACTAGTGGTTAAGGCTCTGGACTCCCACATGGCCAACTGTGGAATCAAGTCCTGTGCCTGATGACTCAAAAATCATGCTAGGCATGTGTGCATGCATGCCCAGAATCCCAAGAAGAGGATGGAGGAGAAAGGATTGAGGTGTGGCCGTCTCCCTTATGGGGAGGGGGTGTGTGATTTCTCACTGCTCTTTCTCTGTCTCTGAATTTCTGGTGAGTGTACATGCTCTATAGCAAAAATCTCTCTCTTATGGGTACTATGAAAAACAAAGCCATCGCTCCTGGATGCCTTCTTTGGTCTTTATTCTCTACTCCTTTCCCCTCCACCTTTAGCTCCTTTTGTGATCACAAGAAACCATGTTGCTGCAGAAGCCTAGAGTGCTACTTATTATCGGGGAATAGTTAGAGATTAGTTACAATAGCCTTTGTCTGTATGAATTCTCAGAGAATAAAGTGAGTAAATCTAAAAATGTAAGAGAATTGCATTTGGGACTAGCAATTAACTAGTGGTTAAGGCTCTGGACTCCCACATGGCCAACTGTGGAATCAAGTCCTGTGCCTGATGACTCAAAAATCATGCTAGGCATGTGTGCATGCATGCCCAGAATCCCAAGAAGAGGATGGAGGAGAAAGGATTGAGGTGTGGCCGTCTCCCTTATGGGGAGGGGGGTTTGTGATTTCTCACTGCTCTTTCTCTGTCTCTGAATTTCTGGTGAGTGTACATGCTCTATAGCAAAAATCTCTCTCTTAAAAAAAAAAGGTATAGAAACTCCTGGGCTGTTGAGTTGGCTTCAGGCCTTACTGAAGTTTTTTCTCATTTTAATACCCTCTATTATTATTTCATTAATTACCTTTTCTGTGCTGCTCAGGTATGAAGTCTTACAGTTCTGCTGGTTGCCACCAGACCAGAGGCCAGCAGCTGAGGATGTCCATAGACTGCTGACTTACCTACGGATGCAAAGCCAGCGGGACTCGGAAGTTGACTTTGAACAACAGTGGAATGCCCTGAAACCAAATACGAACAGCAGAGACACTTCAAATAATGCTGCATTCCCAATTCTTGACCATTTTACCCGAGATCGGCTTGGTCGTGAAATGGAGGAGGTCCTCACTGTAACAGAAACCAGCCAGGGGCTGAGCTTTGAGTATGTCTGGGAGGCTGCGAAGCATGATCATTTTGATGAGCGCAGTCGGGGCCACCCAGATGAAGCCTTGTCCTACACGAGCATCTTCTTTCCAGTTGAAGTTTTTGAGAGTTCACTTTCAGATCCTGGTCCTGGAAAGCAAGATGACAGTGGCCAGGATGTCCCCCTCCGGGCGCCTGGAGTTGTTCCTGTTTTTGATGCCCACAACCTTTCTGTTGGAAGCGACTATTATATCCAACTAGAAGAAAAAAGTGGCAGCAACTTGGAGCTCGATTACCCGCCTGCACTGCTCACAACTGAGATGGATAATCCAGAAAAGCTAAGTGCCGAGCCGTCGCAGTTTCCAGCACTCAGGAACCTTGAATTGGAGGAATCAAGCACAGATGAGGATTTCTTCCAAACCAGTACAGACCCCAAAGAGTCTATCTTACCTGAGGACTTACACGTCACCAGTGGCCCTGAGAGCCCTTTCAACAGTATATTTAATGATCTTGACAAATCAGAGGATTTGCCCAGTCACCAAAAAATATTTGACTTAATGGAACTAAACAGAGTTCAGGCTGACTTCAAGCCAACCACTTCAAGTTCGGATGACCCCGAAGAGTTGGGAATAACTTGCCACTTTGAGAAGGAAAAACCCCATAAGCTTTTTGACTGTGAGCCTCTTTCCTTATCAGAAAATTTTACACATGAAGATAATTTTGATCCACTGAGTGTTCAAGAATTGTCGGAAAACTTTTTATTCCTTCAAGAAAAAAACTTACTAAAGGGCTCATTGTCCAGCAAAGAACATATAAATGATCTTCAGACAGAACTTAAGAATGCTGGTTTTACTGAAACCATGTTAGAAACTTCACGTAGAAACTCTTTAGATACTGAACTTAAGTTTGCTGAAAATAAACCAGATCTTTCTTTGTTACCAGAAAACATAAGTGCAAAAGGAAAAGATACGGACATCAAGCTCAAGGGCAATACTTTGAGCCCCTCACTGCAGTCTTCTCCAGAAGTGCAGGTAACTCCTACCTCACTCACAGCAGAAGAAATGCCTCAGAGTTTACTTCCAGATTTGCTCCCAAAGCAGGAAGAAACCAAACCCACGTGTTTAGACGTCGGTGTCTCTGAGGACCATCCTTGCCAGGACCTAACTCTGGACACCCTGGATGTCCCATCTGGAACTCTCTCAACTGATGCCAGAACAAGTGGTGTTGGTGACGGGTCCCAGGATTTGACTCACCACAGTGAGGAGACCCTGCAGCTAACCAAAAGTGACTCAGTTCTTGATGATGTTCTTTCTGGTAGGGTCAATGTTGAGAGCAGTCTTCCAGAATTGAGGCAGAATGTACAAAATAAACAGTTTTCAGATAACCGTCACAGTAATAGTTTGCTAGAGAAGAGCTCAGCAGCTTCTGTGGAGACTTTAAATCAGCTCAATTATAAAGATTCCACAAAAGAAGCAGCCTTGGTGTCTGCCCTGTCATCAGACTCAACCAGTCAAGACAGCCTCTTGGAAGACAGCTTGTCAACACCCATTCCAATCTCAGAACAATCCGTGGAAACCCCAGACTCTCTGGATTCAGTGGATGTCCATGAAGCCTTACTGGATTCTTTAGGCTCTCACACGCCTCAGAAACTCTTGCCCCCTGATAAGCCAGCAGACAGTGGTTATGAAACGGAGAACCTGGAGTCGCCTGAGTGGACTTTGCATCCTGCCCCAGAGGGTGTGCCAGACTCCGACCCAGCTGCAGCTGGCGATAGCAGTCACAGCAGTCTGCCTCCCAACCCGGTCATCGTCATCTCAGATGCAGGCGATGGTCAGAGAGGTGCAGAAGCGCCCTCACAGACGTTTGCACCTGGCCCCCAGAGTTCCTATCGAGACTCTGCATACTTCTCAGATAATGACTCTGAGCCTGATAAAAAGTCTGAGGAGGTCCCAGGACCCTCTTCCTCGGCCTTAGTATCAGTTCAGGGTGAGTCCCTGCCTGAGCCAGTCATCCCAGAGCAAAGCTCTGATACCAAGGATAGTTGTCTAGAAACCAAAAAGAGCCAGCCAGATCAAAGTTGTCTATCTGCTTTGCACAATTCCAGTAACCAGGAATTAAGAGAAACATTGGAGCCAACACCAGCTGATATTCCCAAACACTTGCATCCTTTGGAAGATGAGGCTGGCAGTCCTTTGAGTTTGTTGAACTCGGAACTTAGCAGTGGTGATGATTTTGAGACACAGGAAGAACACTCCTGCACCCTCGCTTCCACTGGAACCAACACTAATGAACTCCTTGCATATGCAAATTCTACAGTGGGTCAGTCCTTATCCAGCCATTCTGAGGGCCCAAAGTTGAAGGAGCCAGATATCGAAGGGAAATACCTGGGGAAACTTGGTGTTTCAGGGATGCTTGACCTCTCCGAGGATGGGATCGATGCAGACGAGGAAGACGAAAACAGTGATGACTCTGATGAGGATCTGAGGGCCTTCAACCTGCACAGTCTCAGCTCTGAATCGGAAGATGAGACTGAGCACCCTGTGCCCGTGATTCTCAGCAACGAGGATGGGAGACACTTGCGGAGTTTATTAAAACCATCAGCCTCTGTGGCCATTGACCAGCTACCTGATGACTGGAAGAAAGAAAAGAAGGCAGTCACGTTTTTTGATGATGTCACAGTCTACTTGTTTGACCAGGTATCTGTTGCCTACAAATTATTTTATATAGAGACATATGTATATCCCATTGGAGAGAATTCCAGAATGTGTTGGGAAATCAAGTGTGGTCTGTTTTTTTATTGCCATTTTGAGGCAACAGGCTGGGATTACTCAAAGTGATTTGAGCTGGTTCCAGTTCCAAGAATATGCAGACATGTAGCTTGGCAAGGAATTTATATTAAATGAAGGGAAGGAAACCTGATGCTCTTCCTGGATCTCCTAAGAGAGTCCCACTGAAGTTAGTTACCCTGTACAGACCGAATTTTTAGAATAAAACGAGGAGGCAACAGTACCCACCTCTTGAGTACAAGCCTTAAACTGGGGTGTGGTTCTGGGACAAGCTAATAGCCAGAACCCCTTAGAAACTTCTGTCTGGAGGGTTTGATGCACAGACACAGGGGGGTCTGTATTCCTGACCCTATCTACTTTCCCTGCTTGGGAGCAGACAGCTTAGTGGGGACTGCTAATCGGGCACTGACTTAGGCTCCTTTAAAAATGAAACAGTTTGGGGCCGGCAGGTGGCATGGTGGTTTAAGCGCTGGACTCCCACATGGCCAACTGTGGTTCGAGTGCTGGACCTGGTGGCTTGCTTTCCCTTTTCCTCTCTCTCTTGCTCTTTGTGTCTCTCTGATGAGCACGCATGCCCTTTAGAAATTTTAAAATAATAATAATAATAATTAATAAAGTTAAATAAGTCTTGGGGGAAAAAAAGGAACAGTTTATGGACTGACCCCATAGTGAGCAGTTAAGCACTGTGCACAGGAGCACATCTAACATGGCCAACAAGGGTTTGAATCCATACTTTGATGGTTTAAAAAACGCTGAGCACGTTTATGTGCATGCTCAAAATCCTGATGGATGGAAATATGGGAGAAAAAAAAAAAGAATTGCAACAAGACCACACCCATTGTGGGTCTTCTCGCTTTCTCTGGCAAGTATACATGCCCTCTTGCAATTAAAGGAAAAAGTAGAGCAGTTTATAGTTAGAACATTTAATATTTTTGACTAAAATAAAATTAAAGTTTTTATTTAAAAAGAAAAGAAGAAGATGCCTCCATTGCTGCTGAGAACTAGTGATTTCAGGGAAAAAGAAAAATGAAGAATTTTCTAATGATTATTCAGCCTCCAGCCCCCAAACTTGAGTGGAGAAGCAAGAGGCAGGAGCAGGCCTTCAGAAGAAGACTGCTCCATTGCTGCTGAGAACTAGTGGTATCAGTGGAAAAGAGAAATGAATATTTTCTTCTGATAATTAACCTTCCAACCCCCAAACTCGAGTTGTAGGGAACTCCTCTATCCTTCTCAATAGCTCTGTCTTCTCGTTTTTTTGTAATTTTTCCTTTTTAAATGTTTTTAAGGTATTTTCTTGGCTTTCAGAACCTCCTTTATCTTGCTAATAATCCCCTTTCCAACTCCTCTCTAGGAGAGACAAGGGCAGGGGCAGGGCCATTGCTGCAAAAAACTAGTGATTTTATTTTTTGCTTTTTTAAAAAACATAAATTTTTTGGTTTTTTGTTTATATTTTTATTCTTTTTCTCTCTTTCTTCTTTTCTCTCTCTCTCCTCTCTCTCTCTCTCTCTCTCTGTCTCTAACATTCTCTCTCTCTTTTTTTTTTTTTTTTCTCTTAATGGCCTTTGTTTACTAGTCTTTTACTAGTCCTGAAACTTGTTTCTCAGATCAGCTGGATTGTAAGTAAAGATCATTATGGGATGTGGGAATGGGGTTTCATCCTATTCCAGAAAGTGTGGGAATTCCTGGTGTCTTCATGTTGCTTGCCCTCTTTTATTCATTTGCGTCTTAGAATCAAAACTCGGTTTATCAGCCTTTGTCCAGCACATCCCTCTTGAACCCCCAACTGTGATGGGTCCCCTGGGCTGTTCCACCTCCTCCCCTTGGGAGCTGCTGCTTCCTTTCTGTTACATGTCACTTTATGCTTTGTGGTTCCTCTATGTTCTGTTCATTTTTGTTTCTATCATGTTTCTTAAAAACTCATTAAAACACTCACATTTGAACAACAGTATTTACTGGAGGAGGTGAATATTTTAAAAAGAGAAAAAGAGCCTGTTGGGCTCAGCTGGCCTCTTGAATCTGAATCTGTGCGAGGCCAACCTTTCTGATTCCATTCCCCCATGGGTTTCACCCACACCTGAACTCAAGAGCCTGTGAACAAAGGGAACCTTAGAGAAGGTGTTGTTTTCAACTTAGAAGGAAAAGTGACCATCTGACCCCTAGGTAGTGTGTTTTATTACAAAGGCATTCAAATAATCTCTTTCTTCACCATCCCTGGAAACTTGAATTGTAGTCACATGTGACCATTGATGGGGGCCGTCAACAAGTGGGATGGAACAGTGTTCAGTGAGCAGTGTGGGCCAGGGCCTAGGGAAGACAACCTCTGTGTCTCAGTCTGGGAATCTGCTTTGGGGAGTGGCATGGACACAACCCTCTGACGCGAAGAGCTGGGCTCGGGCTGGGCTCAGGCTGGGCTCCTGTGCACTTCTTTATGGAGAATGTTTTGTTTTGCCAGCTTTAGAAGACAGGACAGAACTGCAGAAGATTAAGACTCATGATAGGGCATTCTAGTTACAGGATCAGTGATAAGACACTTGATGGGAGACTTTGACCAAAAGGTTAATGTCAGAGAGAAAGTCAGAAAGTGGGTTAAGGTCAGTGATCTGGCCCATTCTGTTAATAACAGAAATGCCTAAGTTGGGGTAATTTAAAAGACTAAAAATTTATTCAGTTTATGGTTTGGAGGTCCAGGGACCGCATCTGATGAGGGCCTTCCTGGTGGTAGAAAACATAATGGAGGGCAGAGCACATACGAAGTGAGCGTATCTGTGTCCACGTGTCTCTACCACAGTCTCATTCCCTCTCCCTATAAACCTGACAGATCTCACCCTGATAACCTTCTCCAATCCTGTTCATCACTCAGAGTTCTTGCCCTCTTCATACTTTCACCGTGGTTCAAGAAACTTAACACATGAATTTTGGGAAATCATATTCAAACCATAGCAACCTGAATAAAACCCTGAAAAATCTTTCTGATGATCTAAAATTAGTTTTTTGGGCCATCTCAGGGGTGGCTGTCACCTGTCTTCCCAGAGAGGACCCTGAAGTTCAGAGAAGTTAGCACCTGGCACAGGGTACAACCCCAGTGAGTAGCGGCTCCAGGACTGACCCAGGTCTGCTGGCAATAGTGCCGAACTTTTCACCACTCAGCCTTGCAGCCTCTCACATGGGCCTTTAAAACCTGCAGCCTGGAATCAGGTTTGACTTTCAGTTCTCACACTGTCTTTCCTGGATACAGTGTTCTCAAGGCAAAAATAGTTGGTAATGACCTACAGTTCACATGGCACTTGCTTGCCCTTCGGTCCCTTCAGTTACTGTGTACACAAGCGTGGTGCCCAATTGTGTTCCTCACAGGTCTGGTCAGTATCTGTTGTGTGGGGGCTCTGTGTTAGGCCAGTGCCCGTAAGGCCACCTTGAGTCATAGTTTCCGTTTTTGGAAGTCCTCCAGCTTTTAAGGAATAAACATTCTGGGGCTCCTCCCATGATTTTTTGTTTGTTTGAGAAAAATGTTGAAGTCTTCAACTGGAATTGTAGATTTACATAGTTCTCTTTATTTCTGTTGATTTTTCCTTCATTTATCTTACAGCTTTGCTGGGTACATGTATTATAATACATTTAAAATAGTTATATCTTCTTGGTGAACTGATTTCTTATCCTTATGTACTGTCTTCTTTAATCCTTTGTCTACTATTCATATGACTCCTTTAAATTTTTTTTTTCTTTTTCTTTGGAGAGGTTTTCACTATAGGGAATTTTTTTTTTTTTTTGAGAAGTTTTTGCTATAGGGCGCGTGCGCTAGCCAGACAGACAGAGAGAGACAGAGAGACAGAAAGCGAGAAATCACCCCCCCAGGGGAGATGGTCACACCGTAGTCCCTTCTCCTCCATTCTCCTCTCGGGATCTTGGGCACACATGCACACATGCCCAGCGTGAGTTTTAAGCTACCGGGTCTGGGACGCGAACCGCGGTCGACTACGTGGGAGTCCAGCGACATAGCCATTACGCTAACTGCTAGTTCCCGCTATAGGGAAATTTTTTGACTAATGTTTGTATCTTTTTTTTTTCAATATTAATATTTACCCAGATAGTTACTACTTCTATTTTTCTTTTTCATTATTGAGTATTCCAGGTTTCCTTCTGGTATCTCTCTTTTTTTCATTAGAATTATCATTTAATTTTATTTATTATTATTATTTTTTTAATTGACCAGGATAGTCAGAGAGAGAGAGAGAAGGGAAAGTGAGAAAGCAAGCTACTAGGTTCAGGACTTGAACTGCTATCAGCCATGTGGAAGTTCAGCACCTTAGCTACCACACTACTAGCCAGCCCTTCAATTCTCTTCTTTTTTTTTTTTTTAATTCTCTTCTAATTAAAGAAGTTGACTGAGTGATTCTTTTCTTGTTTGTCTCTTTTTAAAAGAATTATTTAATTTATTATAATTTTTAAATTTTGCTATAGCACATGTGCACTCACCAGAGAGAGAGAGGGAAAGTGAGAAAGCAAGGACTCAAACCATAGTTGGCCATGTTGGAGTCCAGCACGTTTACCACCATATCACCTACTGGCCCCAATGTCTCTTATTTTTGTTTTTTTGTTTTTTTGGGGTTTTTTTTTGGAGAGGTTTTTGCGATAGGGTGCGTGCGCTCACCAGACAGACAGAGACAGAGAGACAGAAAGCAAGAAATCACCCCCCAGGGGGGATGGCCACGCCGCAATCCCTTCTCCATTCCCCTCTTGGGATCTTGGGCACACACGCACACGCGCCTGGCATGAGTTTTAAGCTACCGGGTCCAGGATGCGAACCGTGGTCGACTACGTGGGAGTCCAGCGACATAGCCATTACACTAACTGCTGGTCCCTCTTATTTTTGTTTTAAAGAATTATTTATTTTATTTTATTTATTCGTTCACTTTTTAAGTTTGACCAGAGAGAGAGAGAGAAAATGATAACACAAGCCACCAGGTCTGGGACTCAAACCATGGTCGGCCATTGGAAAGTGTCCAGTACCTTAACCACCATGCCGCCTGCTGGTCCCCCAATGTCTTTTTTATAGCAAATCAGTTGGCAACAAATTTTCTTAGTTTTTCTCCACCTGAGACTATATTTTACACTCATCTCTGAAGAATTTTTTTGAATATGGAATTGACAGTTATTTTCTTTTAGTATTCAAGTATCCATTCCTCTGACCTACATGGTTTCTCATGAGATTATCATTCCCCTATAAGTAATATAACTTTGTCTCTGACTGATTTCAAGACTTTTTCCTTTGTCTTTGGCTTTCAGCAGTTTGGTTATGATGTATTTTGGCATGGATTCCTGTGTTTAATCCCATTTAAAATTTGCTGAGCTTTTTTTTTTTTTTGGAGAGGTTTTTACTATAGGGTGCATGCACTCGCCAGAGAGACAGAAAGTGAGAAATCATCCCCCGGGGGGAATGTCCATGCCACAGTCCCTTCTCCATTCTCCTTGGGACCTTGGGCACGTATGTACACGTACCCAGCATGAGTTTAAGCTACCGAGTCCGGGACTTGAACCGCAGTATACTACATGGGAGTCCAGTGACATAGCCATTACACCGTCTGCTGGTCCCAACTCCTTTTTTTTTTTTTTTAAGAATTATTTATTTTTATTTATAATCACAATTATTATTATTTGCTAAAGGGCACTTGCACTCACCAGAGACAGAGAGAGAGAGAGAGAGAGATTGGGAAAGCAAGAAAGCAAACCACCAGGTTCAGGACTCGAACTTGTAGCCAGTCATGTGGGAGTTCAGTGCCTTAACCACCACACCACCTGCTGGCCCTTGCTGAACTTCTTTAATCTGTAGTTTTATGTTTCTACCAAATTTGAGAAGCTTTCAGTCATTATTTCTTCCCATAGTTTTTCTATACCACACTTTCTCTCTTCTCTTGGGACTACAGTGTCAGGCCTTTTGGCATTATCCCACGTGTCCTCAGGCTCTGTTCTTTTTTGTCCTTTTTTTTTCCATCTTCAAGTTCACTGACTTTCCTGTGTCATCTTCATTCTGCTGTTGAGCCAAAATGTGAGTTTCAGATTTTCAGTTACTATATTTTTCCCACCCTGAAATTTGCATTTTATCATTCTTTTTATCACCTATTCTTTTGCTGAGAGCACCTATATTTCTGTTCATTTTAAGAGCATTTGCCCTTAACTTGTAGAAGCATTTTAATAATAGTCTTTTTCAAATAATGTTAACATCTGTGTGATTTTAGCATTGCTATCTGTTGCTTGTCTAATCCTCTGTGAATTGAGGTTTTCCTGGTTGTCTGCTATGGTGTTTTAGATTTTGTATTTTTATGTCATGTTATAAGATTCTGTGCCTTATTTAAATTCTGTGGAGAATGCTGGTATTTTTTCCTTAGTATACCTTGACCTGGTTGGGTTAAGGCCACAAGCTCCAGCCAACATTCTGTGGCTTGTGGTTTCAGTGTAAGTTCCCCTTTTGAAGCCTTTGCTTGGCTATTTGCACCGATCAGGCCAGAACTTGGTGGCTCTCCCCTCCCATAGTTCCCTTTTCAGTGCTTCTCTGTGTTATTTAGGGTTAGATCTGTGCACAGCTTGGGTAAGTGTCGGAGCTTCTCACCAACTTTATAGGGTCACTTTTATGAGCTCCTGCCCCTCTGTGATGTCCCTGGTACTTGCAGCTTCAGTCCCTTGGGCCTCCTCTTTTCAGTCTTTCAGATGACACTTGGAGCTTAGTTCCAGCACTAGGCTGCACCCTTCCTGTGCCTCTGCCTATGTTAAGCCAAGCCATGGAGGACAGAGGACAGAAGGCAGCGAGATTCCCCTCACTCTGTTGGGACCCCAGTCCTCCTGACAGGAATCTCTATTTGGCTTTGCAGGAGACCCCTACCAAAGAGCTGGGGCATTGTGGAGAAGCACGTGGTCCTGAGCTGAGCGGCCCAGCACCAGCCACGGGGTCTCCATACCTGGGCCGGTGTCTACACTCAGAGAGCTCCACGGACGAAGAAGGTACTTTACTTCACTGAGTAGTTTCGGAAGAAACTTTGGGGACCAGCAGATGATGTAATGGTTATATCACTGGACTCCCACATGGTCGACTGCGGTTTGAATCCTGGACCCAGAGGCTTAAAACTTATGCTGGGCGAGTGTGTGGGTGTGGTCATCTCCCCCGGGAGGTGATTTCTCACTTTCTGTCTCTCTGTCTCGGCAAGCACACATGCTTTATAGCAAAAAATCTCTCTTTAAAAAAAAAAAAGAAGAAACTTTGAACAGTGTCAACATTTTTTCTGAAGATAACTTCTTCTCATGTTGCTTTAAATGACCCCTTGTGGCAACTTGCAAGTGGCCCTGCCATCTGGCTTTGATGTGCAGAGCACACCTGTGCTTTCACATGTTCCCTCTCCTTATCGAAAATGATAAAGGGAGGGTTTTTTGTTTTTTTTTTTTTTTATTTTAAGGGGGGAGCCTTTGAATGGAATGTTTGAATCCTGGACCCAGAGGCTTAAAACTTATGCTGGGCGAGTGTGTGGGTGTGGTCATCTCCCCCGGGAGGTGATTTCTCACTTTCTGTCTCTCTGTCTCGGCAAGCACACATGCTTTATAGCAAAAAATCTCTCTTTAAAAAAAAAAAAGAAGAAACTTTGAACAGTGTCAACATTTTTTCTGAAGATAACTTCTTCTCATGTTGCTTTAAATGACCCCTTGTGGCAACTTGCAAGTGGCCCTGCCATCTGGCTTTGATGTGCAGAGCACACCTGTGCTTTCACATGTTCCCTCTCCTTATCGAAAATGATAAAGGGAGGGTTTTTTGTTTTTTTTTTTTTTTAATTTATAGGTGGAGGCTTTGAATGGGATGATGACTTCTCCCCAGATCCTTTTATGGCAAAGACAACAAGCAACCTTCTTGGATCCAAGCCTTCTCTTCAGACATCCAAGTATTTCTCTCCACCACCGCCACCCCGGAGTGCAGAGCAGAGCTGGCCACACACGGCACCATACTCCCGCTTCTCCATCTCTCCTGCCAACATTGCCAGTTTCTCCCTCACACACCTCACCGACTCGGACATCGAGCAGGGAGGTGAGAGGCCCCACAGGACCTGGTTGCGGGTGGAGATAGGGGTGTCTTAGCCTCAGGGACCTTCCCTGCCTGACTTGAAGGCATGGTAATGGGATGCTTCCTTGGCATTTGTTGAGTGACTTGTGAAGTTTTTTTCATAATCCGCAATCCACACAGTGTGTTCAAGCCACATCGCTGCTTTTAGCCCTCCATCACCTGCAGGCTCATTACCTGCCCCTGGGCAGCCTGGGTCACTGGAGAGTCTCAGGTGCTCCGCCTTCCTTCCTTCTCCTACTCCTCCTCTGCTCTGGATCCCCCTTCCTCTGTTTCTCTACTTCTTTGTCAGAGGGAAGCAGCTCTCTAGAAGGCCTCATTCTTAAGCACCCTTGACCAGGACTTTGGAATTGAGCCCAGTGCACTGTGGCTCTCCCCCTGGGAATATTGGTTTTGCCATTAAGTCTTGGTCTTCATGTAATACCCAAGCACCTAGGGGGAGTTCGTGGGCAGGGGCACGTTTGAAGTGGTAAGACCTGAGCACATGGATCCTCCCTTCCCCAGAACTTGATTGGAAGACAAATGTTAATAGGTACATTTCTTGATTTAAAGTTTACAGATCAAATAATAAATTTTAAAACATAAAGAGCGTTTATTTGTGTTTGTTCTGTTTCATTTAGGCCGATTAGATAATGCCCATTACCTAACGATCCATCAGAGGGCAGATGTGGCTCAGAGCTAGTTTTCTTCTGTGCCCCACGTGTTAACACTGAGCTGACGTGTGAGCTCAGCAGATGTGTTTGTGGGAGAGTCTGACAGGTGTTACTTTAAAGGGAAGAGAAAGGGCAGCCCAGGCAGGTGTCAAGTATCCAGACACTGGCTTCAGTTCCTTTTTCTGCATACATAGCAGATCCTCTCCAGATTGTTCTTTGTGTTGATCGTTTTAAGAACCCAACTTTGTTCTGTTCCTTGTTCTCTCCCAAATAGGAAGCAGTGAAGATGGAGAGAAAGATTAGGTGGCTGCTGACACACTCCCTCAGGTCTGGGCTGCTCCCCAGAGCGGCGTTCCTGCACTTTCAGCCCAAGCAGCAACATCCACTCAGTATTTGCTGGCCTGAGATTGGGAGAAAGAATCAGGAGATGACGAGGGAGACGGTCCCGAGCTGCATTCGATGCCGCTAGCCACACCTGCGGCCACTCTCACACGCTTGAAGTGCTCACGCTCTGTGACCCTGTGGAGGCGAAGACACCGCTTCTGTGTGTGGAGCTGTCTTCACCAGGGCATCTCTTCTCTGTAGGTGATCTCTGTGTCCACACTTGTAGTCCCGGTCTCTGCAAGGGTGCCATGGAGGATGCCCAAGGGGAGTGGTCATGAGTGAGCCATATTTATTATTTCTCAAGAAATCACTAATTGCTCTCTGTAATTGCACTGTGGATAAATGTTCTACGAGTCCCTGGTATTGTACAGAATCTTAAATTATTCAAGGAAAATAAGGCAGGTCAAGCTGGTGCTGTCCACTAGTTTGATTTTCTTCTGTTTTATGGTTCGTTTGCTCTGCATGGTACTTGTAAAGCTTCCATATTTTGAGTGTCATGCCGTCTCTAGAATTGTGGGAATTGCACATAGGGTACTTTTTGATAAATGGTTCTGAATGTTAGTGTTTTATGTTCTTACAGGAAATATTTTTGATGAGTCCAAAAATATTGCCGTTTTGTTGATTGACTCGAACACATTTTTGTCTCTCCTCTCTAAGGTGGTTTCCAACCCTGCAGCAAATGAGGCTTTTCTCTGAGGAGCTGAAGGGTCTTGCAGCTTCTCTGCATTTCTCCTACTGCCCCTTAATTATTTTTAAACACTTTTGGTAAAAATTGACAGGTGGCATGCCCCTGTCAATTTGGGTTATAGTGCCCAGATCCCCGGGCCCCTCCCTGGAGACATTCTGGCGTGGCAGGTCAGGCAGCTACAAACAGAGCATGGCCACTGTGCCACTTCCCCTCAGACCATCAGAGTGGCCCTTCTGCTCATTTTGAGACCCAGCTGCCCTGTGGCTCTGGTGTTCTGGCAAGTCCTTCTACACGAAGCCAGAAGTAGTATCACAGAGGGCTCTGGCTGTTGAGGATGGTTTGAGTTAACTCTTTGTACACTTCAGGTCTGGTTGATTCGGGCTTTTGAAAAATCTCCTGAGCTGACTTTTCCCCCTCGAGGGCCCTCCAAGTTGTGTCCCAGTGTGGCTGATCTCTTAATAACCCAGGAGATCCACAACATCCTGCAGCTTCGAGGAGCGGACGAGGGACAGCAGCTGCATCTCGGTGGCCAACACACCCTCCTGGTTGGGACCTTGGGGATTCTGCTGGCTGTCACCCTTCACAGCTCCTTCCCTTCTGCATCCAGCACCAAACTCTCTTCTGGCTTTAAAAGGGAATGAGCATTTCCAGTGCTGCTTCATGCTGTTGGCAGGACTCGGTGTTCACCGTGCCAAGCTGACCTCATGCCGCCAACCTGGAGTTCTGCTTCGGCTGGTGCAGCAACAGCGCTGAGCTGAGAGAGGCACTGCAGGCCCTGGGTGGGTCCTCAGCCTATGGTCCCCTCACACAGGCCCTTCACAAATCCAGATGTTTTCCGGTGCTGACACACTTTCCAGAGCCCAGCGGGACACTGGGACAACTCTCCAGGCTGCAGATCAGAGTGACTCGGGTCCTAGTGCAAATGCAAGTGTGGACATTGACTAGATTTCGTGTGGTAAAGTATGACCTTCATTATCAGTTCTGGCTCGCTCCACTCATTCTTTATACTAAGCAATAACTTTCCAAAGCAAGAAAATTCAGAATGGAGAAAGAGTCCCTTAACCTTGAGCACTCCTAGGCTCACACAAAGCATGGGGTCTTGTGGTTGTGTATTTTTAAAAAATGAACAGGGCATTAGATAATTTTGCCAAAATTGTCGTAACTCTGAATTTCTATGCTATGGAGACTTCTGAGTTTTCTGAATTTTTACATCTAACTACCAGTCTTGGTTGAGAGAGAAATGAGAAGCAATTATACTAGTATTTTTATTTTTCCTCAAATTAGAGGTTTCAGGGATTCACAGTTAATAACGAAAATTAAGCAGATCCATAGAGAGATCCATAGAGTATACATACTTATATGGTCAGCCTAGGAGAAATATATCGATTTTTGAGGGCTGTACATATTTCACTATGATTAAGCAGATTTTAACAATTCCCATTTTTATTTATTTTACATCTGTATCACTCTCATAATTGCCAAACATTTTATACATGGAGTTGGGGGGGGAGGAATAGTAGATCCTACTGTGGTGTTGCATGGAAGGGAAGATTTTATATTTATAATAAACGTGAGTTTAACATGTTCTTTTGAAATCTCAAGCAATACACAGGAAATTCAATTAAGTAGATTAAAATTTTCAGCCCAGTTTTGAAATGTCAGCATGTGCTTTGTTGTTTTGATTCAGATTTTTTTTCTTTTCCACAAATAAGTTGGTTACTGATAGTGGGCTTTCAAAACATACTTGTTCCAATAAGTTATGAAACGAAATAAATCAGTGGCATTCTCTAGGTGATATGTGGGCGGTTTATAACACCTGGTTAACAATTATCATTGCTGGCCTCCTTTTGGTAGCAATCCAGAATCTGTCAGATTTTAATTAGTCTTTCTTTGGTGGAATTTGTGTATTTTAAAGGTATAATAAAAATAATCTAACCTTCATTTCCTTCCTAGCTAGATGCTAATTTGTGTTATCAAAAGACCCTGTCATATACCAGAAAAATATAGAAGAAATGCTCTCTAGATCCTTGTGACTTAGACTGGGTGTCTGGGTAAGAAGCCATTCATCTTAAGGGTGAAAGCTCAGCTGAGCTGAATTGAAAACAGAACATTCATTCTATTTTTAAATGTACAGGTGCGATTGTTTATATAGAAATGGGTTTATCTAAGAAAAGTCTTTGTATGTCTTGCTGCCGTGTTAAACACCTTTCAGAACTCCTTCCTTTTATTCATATTTCCCATAGGGTATTTGTAGAGCTAATGACCTATTGCATGTCTGTCCTGAGGGCCCAGGCAGAAGGGAGGCAGCTCTTAGTTTTGCTCTACTCAGCCTGTCATCTGAAAATCCAGAAGCGAACCAAGTGTTACACTCCAAATGCTGGGCTTCAGTTACAGCAGTTTTGAAATGTTAGCCTTATGAGAAGTAACCTTAAAATAAAAATGAGTCTACACAGTTACTCCAGACTTAAACTCGAAAACAATATTTCTAAGTAGTAATGGGGTTGGCTCAAGTCTGGATTGTTAAAACCAGAATTCTCTTCAGTGTATAAATAAATTCTTAAAGATGCGTTAACAGTATTGAACTACCAACAACCTGTTGAGACCACTTGTGAGTGGCTCGAGCATGTGCCATTGGCATTGCTCAAGTTTGCACAGACATGGCTGGATCTTGATAGTGGATCCGATGGTGTATCCACTGTTCAGTTCCCTCTGCAGACGAGGACCTATGGGCAGTCACACTTATCAGGTCTCCCTACTGTACTTTAACACAGTCGAAAGGTTCACGGCAACATAACAGTTAATGAACTTTCAGTTTAAATTGTGTACATTTTTAAATTGTAAGATTTTTACTGTATATTGATGCATAGTGTGATTCAAGAAATTGCTTGTAATTTAAAAACTATTTAATATTCAAAATAAATATAGTTATATATTTATAAACTCTGTTGCTGCATTTATTCTATATTTGTTACACCATGTAAAGGCGAGGGTGGGTGCCTGCAGTCCTGGGACACTGCCCTGTCATTGGAAATTGGGTGCCCTTCATGACAGACCTAAATTCTCCAGGCTCCTGAGAACACAAAGTTGTGTCCAGTCACTTTAGTATGAAACCAAGCTCGATGAGTTTGTGTTGCCTCAGTGTATCAATAGTTAGAAGCCTTGGCGCTTACAGACGAATTGCAGAAGTATTTTCATTTCTGAAGTCTGCATTTGACCCAGCCTCAAGGTGCTCTAAGCCAAGAGGCTGCTGTCAGCTCAAAACTAACCTTTCTGTGCTCCCAGTTAAACTCTGAGGGATGTCCAAGATGGACCATGTGAATGTTCCTAGTGTTTTTATTGTGTATCCCAGCCTACTGGTCCTGTGGTTGTGAAGCCACTGCCATAACCCACCTAAAGACTCTGCCACCAGGGAACCAGCAGTTAGCGTAATGGCTATGTCACTGGACTCCCACATAGTCGACCGCGGTTCACGTCCTGGACCCGGTGGCTTAAAACTCACACTGGACACGTGTGCGTGCATGCCCAAGATCCCGAGAGGAGAATGGAGGAGAAGGGATTGCGGTGTGACCATCCCCCCTGGGGGGTGATTTCTCGCTTTCTGTCTCTATGTCTCTCTCTGTCTGGCGAGCACACGTGCCCTATAGCAAAAACCTCTCCAAAAAAAAAAAAAAAGACTCTGGCACCATACTCCTAGCATCCCATCAACTCCCAATGATCCCTGAGCAAAATGCTAATTTAACACCTTTTAAATGTTTTAAATTTATTTTTGATTTTTAAAAAATCTTGCTGCAAGGCATGTGCACTCTTCAGAGAGAGAGAGAGAGAGACATCACCCCCTAGGAGGACATAGCCACATCACAATCCCCTTTTTTCCATTGTCCTCTGGGGATTTTAAGCTCCCAGGCAAATGCACAGGCAGCATGATTTTTTTTCTTTTATTGTTTTTTATTTATTATTATTATTTCATGCATTCAATCACTATACACTTAGATTGTAAAGAGACTTTACCCAGTATGATATACACCTCAGTCCAGCCCAGTTGAGAATACTATACACATTCTCATCAACAGATAATAAATCGTATCTGTGTCCCACAAGTGTCTTAACTATCTTTTTCCCCAAATTTCCTTTCCTATGCTCTTCCCCTCCCACACTCTTCCCACTCTGTCTCTAGTGTCCATAACAAATTTTAATGCTTTTATGTCCTCCAGTCTTTCCATCTCTACCATAGAGTGCAGACAGTTGGTATATGTTAAGTGGAGACATACAATGTCTCATAGCCTGACTTGCTTCACTCAGCAACAGATCTTCCGTATTCGTCCACTTGCTATCAAATTCCAGGGCCTTATTATTTATGGCTGAATAATATTCCATGGACCATTTGTGCCACACTTTTTCAATCCATTCATCTGTTTGTGGACATTTGGGTTGGTCCCAGGTCTTAGCAATTGTGACTAATGCTGCAATGGATATAGTTGTGCAAGTGTTTTTCCGACTGAGTGCTCTCCTGTCCTTTGGGTAGATACCCAGGAGTGGAATTGCTGGATCATATGGTAGTTTCATTTGAAGGTCTTTGAGGAACCTCCATATTGTTCTCTACAGTGGCTGGACCAATTTACATTCCCACCCACAGTGTAGCAGTGTTCCCCTTCCACCACATCTCCTCCAGCACTTACCGTTTTTGTTTGTTTGTTTGTATCTTCAGGCAGCATGTTTTTCAAGCCACTGGGTCTGGAACTCCAACTGCAGACTGGCCCATGTGGGATCCAGCCACCTTAATGACCGTGCCACCAGCTGGCCCAATTTAACACCCCTTGATGCTTCTGTAACTAGTGAGGGAACCGAGGCAGGAAGTGAGCCAGTAGTATAAAGAGGCAGGTGGATTGCCAGTGTTAAGCCCAGAATGCCTTTTTCCCACCTCTGGAGACCTAAAAGGGATAGTTAACCAGTCTCTTCCTACTAACCAGTAAGAACTGCCTAGAGGCCCTCGCCCACACCTGGCAGCACTCTGCCCCTCACCGCCCCCCCCCCAAGTGGGGAGAGGTTCTCAGTGTGTGTCCCAAGCGCTTAGGCGCTGCACAGTTCACCAGGAACTTTGAAAATGGGGTAGGGGTCAGAGGGGAGAGACCTGGGCCCTTGCTTTTCAAGGGTGTTGCCGCTATCCCTTTAAGATGCTAGTATTGCAGAGTAGCTTTTCCACGAATTCTCCTGCGGCTTTGGCTCCACGTGAGCCTAACTCCAAGGTCCTGTGCGCGAACAGGTGCGGTTCCTGGGCACTCAAACAAGCTTTAGTCTACCCTTCGGCAAAATGGGCCCAGACTCCCCGCCTCGCACTGGGCTGCCAGGTCTTGAAGCAAACTGCAGGCGATCTCCGCGGGGGCAGGCTGGGGGTCGGGAAGTAGAGGGAGGGGATGGGGAAGCCTTTCTGGAGGAACGCGGATTGGGGCATGTCGTTAGGAAGTGGCGGGCCGAGGGAGGTTGTGTGGGGGTTTCAGGCGGGAGGCGATCAAGGGGCAGAACAGGCTGTCGGATGGGAACGCAGATTGGGGGATCCCGTCAGGGAGAGGTGGGGCAGGGAAGGGTGTCAGGCGGGGAAGACCCGCGGCAGAGGCGGACCCGGGCTCTGCTGCCGCCTGGTCCAAAGGGGGGAGTCGGGAGGGCAGAGGAGGCCGGTCCGCCTGGCTGGCAGGTGCAAACCCTGACCCCCAGGCCCTCCCCCGGGACAGCCGGCCCCGCCCAGGTCCCGCCCAGCGGGCTCATTTACATGCGTCCTCGGCCCCGCCCGGGGCGGCTAAAGCGACGTGTCCTTGTCCCCCGTGGGCAGCCTCGGAGCGTGTGGCTGTGGATTCCCAGGTAACCGGGGGGCTGAAGAGTCCAGGTGTGACTGCGGGAGGGGAACCTAGTGTCAGGACCGGCTCGGGGCAGGAGGAAAACCGTTTGGAACTCCAGGGTCTGAGCCCCAGCTTGGGCTATCCACGTGGTGGGACTGGGGCTGCTGCAGGGCTCTGCCCACTGTGGACCTCTGACCTCCCACAGCTGTCCCACGTCTATGCTGATTCTGGCTGGATCTTGTCCCTGGATCCGTCCTGGCATTGTGGCGGATTTGCTGCTTACCCCTGGGTACACGGGAGGCCTAACAGCGTTAGACAGAGGGGCTGCCCTAAGCTAGGGTTGGGGACACATTTCTGGGTGGTCTGAGCAAAGTGTCAAAGGTCACCTAAGCTCAGGAGGCAATCAGGGGGCAGGGGCTAGGGGAAGGTGGGGGTCAGTGTGAATCAACCAGAGGGGAGGAGAAAGGCACACAGATCAGGGAAAGCTCTGGGGAGTCCCTGTGAGGTCAAGCAGAAGCAGGAGCATGGGTGGAGGGCATGTGGGTCAGCTCAGAGCTCAGCATATGAATGAGAAAGACCCTGGGGTCACAAGTGGTGAACTGACACTGGCTACCGAGGCCATTGTCACCATCGAGGAGGCTGACAGGGAGAGCAGCAATGCTGAGTGACCACAGAGTGGCCTGTATTCTCGATTTCAGTGCCAGAGGCCTCCCCTCCCAGTCGCCATCTTCTGAGACATCCAGTCCAGAGCCATGAAGACCAAGAGCCGGCCCCCACGGCGCCGGGCACCTCTGCAGGACGCAGAGGCCACCCCAGGGGAGCGCACACCTGACAGGCTCCAGCCAGGCTCTGAGCCAGACGTTGCCAAGGGTCTACGGAGCAGGACCACCCGGGCGGCGGGAGGCCGGGCTGAAGGTGGGCGCAGACGGCCAGGGCCCACAGGTCTGGGCTGCCGGCGGGAGAGCAGCGTCCAGCGGCGGCTGGAGAGCAACGAGCGGGAGCGGCAGCGGATGCACAAGCTCAACAACGCTTTCCAGGCCCTGCGCGAGGTCATCCCGCACGTGCGCGCAGATAAGAAGCTCTCCAAGATCGAGACGCTCACGCTGGCCAAGAACTATATCAAGTCGCTGACCGCCACTATTCTGACCATGTCCAGCAGCCGCATCCCCGGCCTGGAGGGCCCTGGCCCATCACCAGGCCCTAAGCTCTACCAGCACTACCAGCAGCAGCAAGTGGCTGGAGGTACTTTTGGTGCCACAGAGGCTCCGCCCCAGGGCCAGCTGCAGAGGTACTCCACGCAGATCCACAGCTTCCGAGAGGGCACCTAGTCCCTGGCTCTGGGGTGGGGTGGCAGTGGTGCCCAGCCTGTACACCCTAGCCCTGGCCCTTCCGTGCTGCTTGCCCCAGACTGGTGACGATGCCTCAGACATGGCCCCCGCGGCTCCATTCATTTTCCCTCAACACTGAGCCACCTCCCTGGAACGGTTTTTCCTGGCCCCAGGGACAAGTGAGTGGTCTGGATGAGGCCGCGGCTCTAGGCAGCCTGAGGTCCAAACCTGGCAAGGGTCTGAGGTCCTGCTTTTTCACTGAACCTGGTGGACGAAGCAGGAGTGAAAGGCCTGAGCCTTCGTAACTAAATTCTCTTCACCCTGACTCCCTTCCTGGCAAAGGGAGATTCCAGGAAAAGATTTACTTACAAGTTTTCCTAGCTATCGCTGAGGCCAAGGCCTGGGGAGGGACCTGCCGGAGGGCTAGATGGGGCCTGGGGTGTTTCCTCACTTGGGGTAAACTGACGTCCCAGACAAAAAGCCTGAGGCCATTCAGAGAGCGTGGCTGAGCCAAGATGGTTGAAGCGTCATCTTCAGCAGCTAGAAACCCTAATCGGATGACCTCGAATTCCTTCTAAAGGGGACTTAGGGGGCTTTTTGCCCCCTCTCCAGAGGGGGTTTGTGTGGCAACCGCAGCCCAGGCTGAGGCTAACAGCAGGTGATGGCAGGGGGTGCCTGGGTCCTGTGCTGAGTGGCTTTGTGGACCAGAACTGGAGCTGGAGATGGGGCTGTCCCTGGGGTTGCCCTTCTGTGCTTGCCGGGAGAGCTGTGAGCACCTGGTCCCCAGAGCAGGCCTGAGGCATCCTGGCCAGCCCTGGGCTGTGCAGGGAGGTTTGTCGCAGGCCTTCCGCAGGCTCCCACTTTGTTATCTGTTGTCACACCTGTCACTGACGTGGGTCACCATATAGTTGGCCAAGGGCAGTCAGTCTGACAGACTTTTAGGCTTGAGTCCTTGCTTGTGTGGGGGGCCCTTTGGCTTTCTGTGAGGTGAAGCCTGGGTGTGGCAGGAGCTTCCCTCCCCCTCCTGGTGCTGCTCCTTAATGGCAGGGACTGGGTGGCTTGGCAGCTACCTGCAGCCTCAGGCCCAGCTTCCTTCTGCCGGGGCGTTCCCGCCCCACTGGCTCTGCCAGCCTTGGCCACTTTGTTTCCAGACCTGCTGGTGTCACCCCCTCCCCCGTCTCTCTGCCTGGGCCACATTAAGGGCAGCAGGTGCCACCGTGAGGAACAGGCCTTGGCCACTTCCCTGGTACTCTCCTGGTCAGGCCCTCTGGGGGGCTTCCCCAGGCACATTATTCCATCTCAATGAAACTTGACCAAGTGAGGTTCCTGCCAGCCCTTGGGGGCCCACCATGCAGTTGCTCCATCATAGTCAATTGGGGACCACTCTGTCAGAGTGACCCACCAGTGGGAGCCATAACTGGGCATGACTCAGGGTTGGAACAGGTAGAGCCCAGGTCCTCTACTATAGGAGACATGCCCAATGGGGACACAAGATGGTGGAGACCCCCACCAAGGGCAGGCAGGGTGCTAGAGACCTGGCAACTCTCGTTTCGCTGAGCTGAGGCCCTCGACTTGCTAAACAAACTTAGAAGCTGAGTCCAATGGCACAGAGAAGGGGACCAGTGGGGGTGCTGTCCAGGACACTGTGTTGATGGCTGTCCGTGGCCAGGGCAGCAGGGGGGCTGGGCTGACCGACCGCCTTGCAGGAGGACAGCTGTCATGGCTCTTACTTGAACTGGCACCTGTATCCCTTCTGCCTCCCAGAGGGTGAGCAGGGCCATCGTCCATCCCTCACCTGCAGCTGGAGGGGATCTACATGCCATGTGGCCACACCATGCAGGACCCTCAAAGGTCCCAACCCCACTGTGAAGTATCAAATGCTATGGGAGGTGAGGGGCTAGGTCTGTGACAGGCCAGCAGGGACTGCTGGCATCTGCTCCCTCCAACCTCACCTCGACCCCAACCCCAGCTTGTCTTCCAAGGCCCTGCACGGGCCACCATGGCTGAGAAGTCCCTCTAAACGTGGGTCACAGACCTGTGCTGCTCTGGTTGCCTGTGCCGCACCCCACCCACCCTCAGAGACCGGGTCCTGGGGAGCTGGGAGGCAGGCTCCCCATCCACCCAGGGAGACACTGGAAAACCCCAGCTGGAACTGCACAGCCCGCGCCCCCATTATAATTGTGGTGACAATGTTTCTTCAATGATCCAAATTTGCCTTTATTTTCTCTAATGGTCCCTTCAAAGTACGAATGAAACTGATGCTGGGTCATATGACAGAAATAAAAGATTTCACAGCAACTGCCGCTTTTGCCCTGTGGACACGTGCGTGGGGAACTGCCCATCTTCATCGTGACGTATTAATAAAATGCCGTGCCGTTTACACTCTGGCATACGTTTTTATTGAATAAAGCATCTGAGGAATAGAGGCAGTTCAGTGATGCCGAGCAGGTAACAGGTGGTGCTCAGCAGTGAGAGGACATGTCACCCTGGAGGAAGTGCAGAGTGACTCCCTTGGGGTGCTTCGCTGAGAGCCACCTGCGGACAGCGAGTCCCGGGAGAATGTACAGGGCACTGTTGTGGGGAACAAATCACAATGCCCACTCAGAGAAAGCCTGACACGGAAATGTAAACAGGACAATGTCACCTGCATGCCACCAGCCACCAGGGCCGTCACGCTTCTGAGTTCTGCACCCAGACACACCTGGTTCCACCTCCAGAGACCTCAGGAATACCCAGTCTCAAACTCCGGAGGGAGGAAACCCTACAGGAGACCTTTCCTGGTTTCCAGGTGACGCACACCAGACAGCAAAACAGAACCTAGTGCATAGCTGACCCTCCTGACGACGAAACGGACGGGAATCCCAGGAAAGCTAGGCAGTCCCTCCATTCCGTCTCAAAATGAGCAGAGACAGGACTTGGGCCCTGCTGACCTCCTGGGCAGTGTCCAGTTGTAGGAAGCAAACTTGAAACTTCACTGATGGGTGTAACGGGATAAAAAGCAGCAATAGTGTGACGCAAGTGGGGCCCCTGGGCCACGTGCTCCCTGCCTCCCCTGGCTGGCCAGCAGGGGCTCTCCCCCTGCCAGGGCCCTGCACACGCCGACACCCCAGAGTGCTGCACCCCCAAACCTCCAACCCGATCCAATGTATTGTACAAGGAGCCCCTACCCCCCACCATGTCTGGGGAAGGGGCTGCCTGGGAGTTTGAGATGATAATTCTGTACATGGACACCTTCTGCCGGCCACAGGGCAGCTTCTCCATCCACCCCCTCCCATTCAAGTATTTATTTCCAATTGCCAACTTCTTCCTTCACTTCCTACATTAAACCCTGCAAGCCCTGCTCTCAGAAATTCTCACAGCATGTGGCCAAGGCAAGAGGCAGAGGGGGAGGAAGGGTGGGAGAGGCCAGGGTTGAGGTGGGGTCCTGCCCTTCACAATGTCCCTTGCAGGCTGGGGACCCTTGTAGGAGCCTCCACATTTCACATTTCTGGACCTTTCTGCCAGTGCCTCTGAATGGCCACCTCGGGCCAGGCTCCCTCCTGAGGCGGCCTGGGCGATGCCTACGTGTGGTGCTGTGTTGGGAACCTTGATGGTGAACCTTGATCCCGTGCAGGGCACTGTTTCTGCTCCGGCTGCGCAGGTGTCCTCAGCAGCAGACGGGGCCATGGGTCTCCTGTGGGGCACTGGGCTCCTGCTCCCGGGATGTACTCCAGGTTGTCCTGGTGGCATTAGCCCGGATGGAGATGTGGTCCCAGCCTCCCTGGAAGGAGAAGGCTGCATCATCCAGGGTGTCAGGGCTCAAGGACCCTCATGGGCTCTGCCTGGGGCCTCTTACCAACCCCAATGCCAGGTCTCAGCTGCACTGTCCGGCCTCTGTGGCCCTGTAGCTGGCATTGCCCTGGGGGCCCAGTTTGCACACACGACTGCCCCTGCACCTGGGCCTGCTCACCCCGATGCCGTAGTCCCAGCCCTGTCCCTTGGGCTCATGGGGCTGCACACCCGTGCGATGGCACACCGTTCCCCGACTCAGGCTGTGGCTCCCCTGGACTTTGTCGGCGATAACCCAGACCTGGAACACAGACCTACTGAAGCGCCCAGCCATGGCTGCAGTGACACTGCTGGGGACAGGAAGGGGAAGATCAGAGAGGAAACCAGGGCGGCCCAAGTATCCAACTCTCCGAGTCCCCACACACCTGATCCAGAGGCCCCACGGACACTCGGCGCACATTGTTGGACACGTGCTCCCAGCTGGAGCCCTGTGGGTAGCTGGGCGTGATCCCTTGGCGATACCACAGGTTCCCTGGGGAGAGAAGCGGCCAGGGTCAAATGCAAAGGCCTTCCCAAGCCCACCCTGCCCGTGCAGCCCAGCTCTGCCAGGCCCAGATCAGATCAGGCCCCAGCTTTGACCAGCTTCAGGAGCTGGGGAGGCCTGATCAGTCTTGGCAGTGGCCCTGGCCCCTCTGCACCCTGGCTGAGCCACAGTGTGAGGGCCTGGGCCGCAGCCAGCTCTGGCCTTTCCACACTCTGGGGTTTGCCTGCACTTCATAATCATCCTATTGTGCTGGGCAGGGTTGGCATCGCTATCCTCTTTTACTGAGCTAGAAACTGAGGACAAAGAATTTATTAAACAAATACAAAGAGATCCGGATCTGGAATGAACACTCTAGACTTCAGTCTTGATTCTGCCTTTTCCTAGCCTTTCCCTCATCTGTGACCGCGACAGCATACTGAAGGGGACTGGCGAGAGCCCTGCCTGAGGGGACACACGGGTCAGGGATGCCCAGAGCAGGCCACGAGCTGCCAAGGGAGCTCCTGCACCACAGGCCTGTGTGGAACCTTCCAGAAGAAACTCCCAGTGCAGGTCTCGCCATGGAGCATCACCCCAGCTTTGGCGCTGTGCCCTCAGCTCTCGTGAGTGCCCTGTCCTCTATCCTTTGCCTTCTGCCCTCTGCCCAGGTAGGGCTCTGCCATCTGGGGCTGGTGCCCCCAAACTTGGGTACCTGGGGGAAGAGACAGACACTGAGGCTGACCACAGGGCAGGTGCCTCCCACAGTGGTTACAAAGGTCTCGTGTAGG